ACAGCGAAGCACCTGCTCTATGCATATTGAATCTGGACATTCAATTCATGAAATCTAAGCCTCTATGATAAGAAAGTTTACTCTTTTTTCATTGCTAGGGATGTGCCATTTCTTAATTCTGTTATTCATACTAGAAACAGAGTCTTCTTTAAAAGAAGAGATTATTTTAAGTGTTTTTCATACTTCCCAATGGCTATTTCTCCTCTCATGAATAACCTTCAGTTGTTCTTTTTCTCACTAAGAAATTATTGAGGACATGCAGCAAGGTAATGGCTGATGAGTTTTGACTTGGTAATGAACAAAGTTGTTTATATAACTTTTGAAGGCACTTTGTTGTGCAAGTCTATATTTAGCCCTTAGTTTCTCCATAGGGGAATATGTCACATTAAGTACAAAGGGAATTTTTGTAGGTGATTAAATCATTTATTTCATCAAGCATGTTGCTATTTGATTCAATTATTCAAGTCAGCTAACTTTAAGCACCTACTATCTATCATGTAGGCACTGGAGATATAAAGATTAATGAGACTTTAGAGATAAAATGTTGAATGAAGTCTAAGTTGGTTACAGAGTTAAGGACAACAAAACTCTAGAGACTTAACTGATTTTTACATTTCACTGATAAATAAAGTCCACAGAATATAAATATGTGTCTAATTCTCACAAACAAGAGCAAGTTGACTGAGACTAACACAGGACTCTAAATCCCCAGGTCAATACTACACCAAAAAAAGAATCCCTAAAATAGCCCAAGCAACTCTGTGTGTGTGGGTGTGTGTGGGGGCGGGGGTGTGTGTGTGTGTATGTGTATACCTGAATCAGCAGGAAACCAAACATTACTGCTGCAGACAATGCCCCAAATAGCACTCTACCTCATTTATTGGCAAGAAACACCAAATTAGAATATCAGTGTTGATCCCACAAACTACAAAAGGTAAAATAAGAACATTATCTTTTTAAACAAAATGTATGAAGAGGTAAGATTTGCTGAGCAATAACATCTACGTTTTACTGAGATAGCAATATAGAAAACCTTTGGGTTAAGAGTTCATAACACACATACACATTGCTTCATGTAGACTTTAAACAGTACTTTAAAAGCATCCTCTTTGAATAATTTATTTTCTTACCAATGGTAATATTTAACTGATTCAAACCATGATTACTTAGTAATGCATACCTATACTGTGTAACATATGATACATATGTTATATATTCATTATATGAGATCATCAGGTGACAGGGGCCAGAAAATAATTTGTAAATAATGGTTTAGAAAAAATATGAATAAATTTATATCTATGCTCCAATAAATCTGTTTTTAACATATCTCTAAAATGACTGTGCATACTCAGAATAGCTATATTCTTATTTCTAGTTTTAAAAACTAAATATAGTATATTAAACACATGCCCTTTGTAAAAATAAATACAAGTAATTTCTAAGCATAAGACAAATACATTTCTTATTTAAGATGATTCCCAGGACATGCCTTTATCTCTTCCTGCTACAGAGACCCAATTAATAATAGTAAAAGAATAAAATACAAACTCAACCACAAAGTAACCTGATGCATGAATTTGTATTTGGGAGCAACCAGGAGATGAGACAGAGGAACATGTTTCTAGAAGACAGAAAATAGATATGAGTGAAGTGTCAGATAACATGGGTTCTGTAGCCAGCAACCATGGCCCTTTCTTGTTAATAAAATCTTGTATGGCTGGCATCATATACTACTTCAGGGATTAAACCAGTATTTACCTAATTCAATGACTAACAGTAGTTGCCTTATTCCGATTTACCAAATATTCAGTTTTAAATTCTTTCTTGCAGCTAAGGCTGGCCACGTGATGCAGTTCTGATAATAAAATGCTAGAGAAAGTAAGTTAAGAAACTGTAGCACAACTTTTGCCTTCACAATAAAAAGAAAGAAATATATGAGGAAAGTCTTTTGCTGTCTCCCTACTTTGGATGCTGTCGTGTGAGTATATGAATGTGTGTAGTTGTTGCCATCAACTTGTGATCATGAGAAGAAGACCAAAGAAAACAAAGTATTGCGGGCACAGTGCCTTGGCATCACTGAAGTGCTGAACAAATGCTGGCCTTGCCTACTCCCAAATTTTGTTTTGTAATATAATGACATTAATGTATTGGATAAACCAATGCTATTCAGGTATTTTGTAGCCTGCAGCTAAATGTATGCTGGTGGTTACTGATGAACCTTGAAGGGAAAGCAGAGGGAACATGGAGTATATGTACAAAGAACAGGAGACAAGGAGACAGCAGGTGTCCTGGAAGAATACTAAACAGCCTCTTAGTTAAGAAACAACAGGACCACAGAAGACAGAACAGAAAGTGGGTGACTTATGCTGATGGTAGGTATGAGACATCCCTCCCTCCATGTTGCAGAATAGTCTGTAGCCAACCATGTATCTGAGGATGGCGGAGGGAAATGTCAGTGGTTCTTTTATAAGGCAATTGAATGAGAGGGAGAAGTAGGACAGTTAAGAGAGATGTCAGTGGCCTAAAGTAAAGCCCTCCTCATTCTGGTATTTAGAGAAATATGAGGACAAGCTCCCCACCTATTTACCCTAAAGAAAAACTTTAAATTAACAAATTCTGCAACATTACCAGAGTTTCTTGTCTTTATATGTGATTGGACATCAATAGATTACCGAAAGAAAACATTCAACACACCAGAGAAAGACCTAGAAAAAGAGATAAAACAATGATTGCACAGTAAAGAGAAAGAGTTCAGAAAAGAGAAAATAAATTCAAATAAAAATTTAGTAAGTATAAGGATAAAAAATAAAAACTAAACTAATTTTTCTTTTCATTTTGTATAGCTGTAATATGACATATTTTACACATATAATTCATTAAAGCATACAATTCAAATATCTTTAAGTAAATTTACCAAGTATGAAACCATCGCCACAAATCAGGTTTCAGAATATTTTCATCACCCAGATAAGATTCCTGTGCCCACTTACTGTTAATTCCCTTTTCCATCTTTTGCCGCAGGCAACCACTAACTTGTTATCTGTCTCTGCAGATTTGTATTTTCTGGATATTTTACATAAACGGAATCACACAGTGTGTGGCTTCTCATGTCTTACTTCTTTCATTTAACATTCTACACAAGATTTGAAACTGACACTTAGATTTGTTTGCCATAATATGGCAATCATAAATTATAATAATATGGCATTAGTTCTTTAGGAATTTAATTTTGGAGTAGTATTCAAAATGCTTCTTTTAATTACCTTGTTTATATTATAGTAGGAGGTAAATTTCATGGTATGGTAATTTGCTTTAAAATTGACCAAAATAGATTTGTTTTCCTACACACACACACACACACACACACACACACACACACACATATTCAGGCACAAAAACATGCAAACATGCAGACTCCACAATATTATTTAGCAGGTTTACATTACAATCTCGACATGAATAACAGCAGACAGCATAATTGATGGCTTAGGTGACATTTCCTAAATGTCTATCTTCTCAGACTGGTTCACATGTCCTTCTCTAGTATTCTTGGAGTTTGCATATATGTGACATTGTTCTTACCAGATTGTATTCAAATGAACTCTGTATTAAGATAATGCCTCTATTTACTATCAGAATGTCATATAAAAGTAGATATGTTTGATTCATATTTTCAGTTCTAACATCAATCAAGTACATAGTGTCTACAGCATGATTTATTCACAATGTTTGTCAACATAAATAGGACTTCTTTAAATTAGCTCGAGTGTGAATTTAGACATTTAATATTATATTTACTGTATTTCCTTTTGTTAGGTGACTAAATTGTAGAAATACTTCTATCATCTCTTTTTTCAAATTTGTTATTTTGAAGCTAAATGTTTAAATTATTTCCAAATTAAAAATAATCAAAGCCTACGGTAGTTCAAATCATAATTTTTGGAAAACAAAATGGAAAATTATCTCAGTAGCTATATAACTTCAGCTGGCCAATAATGAAATCCAAATTTGCAAATGTTTGTTTACCATATTTTAGAAATCTAAATTTCCGTAAGGAATTACCCTTAAAAGTCATTTAAATAGAGAGTCCCTCTGTACATGTGGAATATCATTTTCTTCATACTGATCTCATTGCGAATATATAAACTACATTAGACATGCCTATAACATATCTAAACCTCTGGTCTAGCTTTGTTTGATCATAGGACTTTCTAAGCCAATGTTTGGACTCATTTTGGCTTCTGTCTAGACTATACCATCTGCTTTCTGCCTTCCAGAATTCATAAAATCTTCTTTCTAAATCATCACCCCTTTCTTTTTTCAACTCCTTTGCGGACGGTTTATTCCATTTTCTGCATCTCTTTTGTTTCTTTTTTATTTCTTATTTCAGGGAATTGTAGTGGGAAGGATAAGGTATACTGTGTTTCAGCCTTCCATTTAAACCAAAAGTCTCAACTGACTTTTTGTTTTGTTTTGTTTTTTGTTTTGTTTTGTTTTTTGTTTGTTTGTTTTGAGATGGAGTCTCTGTCACCAGGCTGGAGTCCAGTGGCGCAATCTCAGCTCACTGCAACCTCTGCCTCCTGGGTTCAAGCGATTCTCCCGCCTCAGCCTCCCTAGTAGCTGGGACTATAGGCGCCCACCACCACGCCCAGCTAATTTTGTATTTTTAGTAGAGACAGGGTTTCACCATATTAGCCAGGATGGTCTCAATCTCTTGACCTTGTGATTCACCCGCCTCGGCCTCCCAAAGTGCTAGCATTACAGGTGTGAGCCACCGCAGCCGGCTGTCTCAACTGTTTTTTTAAAAAAGAACATTATTTTAAGATTGAGTGTTGTTAGTTGGATACTTTTAATTGTCAGAAGGAATTTGCTGATATAATAAATGCTGCTAATAATTGTTTTTTCACATCATGAGACGTGTCTTAAGTTGTGGGAAGCCTTAATGGCTTTTAAAAGAAAATGATCAAACAAGTCATTCTTCTTTGTTGTTTTTATAGAGATTTGCCTGCTGACCAAAGGACGTCGTACTGCCAGTGTTCGAGCTGATACATATTGTCGTCTTTACTCACTTTCTGTGGACAATTTCAACGAGGTCCTGGAGGAATATCCAATGATGAGGAGAGCCTTTGAGACAGTTGCCATTGACCGACTAGATCGAATAGGTACTCTAGTTTTCTACCTTCTTTATATAAAATTTAGTTTTAATCTCATGGCATAATATAGGTTTGCAATTATAAGTCCCCAATGCGGCCAGGAGTGGTGACTCATGCCTATAATGACATCACTTTGGGAGGCCAAGGCAGGTGGATCATTTGAGGTCAAGAGTTCGAGACCAGCCTGGCCAACATGGGGAAACCCTGTTTCTACTAAAAATACAAAAATTAACCGGGTGTGGTAGTGTGCACCTGTAATCCCAGCCACTCAGGAGGCTGAGGCAGGAGAATTGCTTGAGCCTGGGAGGTGGAGGTTGCCGTGAACCAAGATGGTACCACTGTACTCCTGTCTGGGAGAGAGAGTGAAATCTTGTCTCAGAAAAAAGAAAAAAAAAAAAAAGTGTCCAACATGCCAGTTTATAGCTTACTTGTTAATTTGTGTAGAAATAGCAATTAGCTGTAGCCATATTTCTTGAGAGATCTGGGTCCCTATCTATCTCTTCTAAGTATTCTAGGTTTATTTATTAATGTCTATTTTTGCTAGCTAAACAAACTGATTTCCCGACTGAAGCCAAAACAATTTGAAACTTCAGGTAAAAAGCAATGATAAAAAATCTAGATAGCATTGAACTAGAACTAAAACTATGATAATATGAGTCTATATTGCAAACTAAGTTTTATCACTTTTTTTGTATTTTGGGGTCAACTTTATATTAGGAATTGAAAATTTGCACATTTAAATTATTCTCAGCAGAGACATAGTAAAATGTTTGTAATACAGACTCAAGCAGAAAAAAAAAAGCCTTGATAGAAATGCCGTACATAGATGCTTTAGCTCGCAAACATCAACATATTTTAAAGTCTTTTCTGCTACCATATATATATATGCTATTTTATATATATATAAAATACACGCCCAGCTAATATTTTGTATTTTTAGTAGAGATGGGATTTCACCATGTTGGCCAGGATGGTCTTGATCTCCTGACTTCATCATCCATCCGTCTCAGCCTCCCAAAGTTCTGGGATTACAGACATGAGCCACCCCAGCCTGCAGTTAATTTTTATAACAATATTTACATGAAATGGTTTGTAATCAATACTGACAATGCAATTTCTAATAAGCACTAAAAAATTGAATTTTTGATCTTTATAAAATTGTAAGAGTGTATTAAAAGTTACATTATTTTTCCCAAGGTTAAAGATACTTAGATTAAGATATTTTGACTAATCACGTAATCAGAAAGAAACGTTATGCTTCTCGGTTTTGTGGCCATTGCATATAGATGTATGCTGCAGTTAGTTAAGCAAATATGCTAAATAGTATTTATGTTTATTACTAATGTAGGAGATTTTGTTCTTTGGGAAATTAGGACAGTCTGTAAGTAGGGAGAGGTAACTATTTATTCTGGCAGTCATTTAAAATGATTGCATTCCCAGCAGTCAATGAAATTACAACATATATTTATTTTCAAAAATATACTTTGTTACTTTTAATGTGTTACTTTATTTAGCAGTATTGCAAATTGATTCACTTTTCAGTTACCATATTCACTTGGGTATTAGTGTATCAGTGATACCATAGAAAAGTCACTACTTTCCCCTTCTTTCGCCAATCTACTATTGATTGTAATCATTATTATGCCAGAGACTGTCTAGTATTGCAAACCACTCAGAAGATGATGGCAGGAAGAGCTAAAATGTGTTGAGGTATTAGAGGGAGCCTGCAATGCACTATGCCCTTGGTCCTCACAACAATCATTCAGAAGAGGAAAGATCATAAAGTCGGTCTCAATCTTGGCTGCATTTAGGAATTCCCTGGGGAGGCCGGGCGCGTTGGCTCATGCCTGTAATCCCAGCACTTTGGGAGCCCAAGGCAAGTGGATCACAAGATCATGAGATCAAGACCATCCTGGCCAACAAGGTGAAACCCCATCTCTATTAAAAATACAAAAAATTAGTGGGGCATGATGGCGGGCGCCTGTAGTTCCAGCTACTCAGGAGGTTGAGGCAGGAGAAGGGTGTGAACCCGGGAGGCTGAACTTACAGTGAGCCGAGATCCCGCCACTGCAACTCCAGTCTGGGCAACAGAGCGAGACTCCGTCTCAAAAATAAAAATTTAAAAAAAAATTAAAAAAAAATTTTTAATAAAAAAATTAAAAATTAAAAATTAAAAAAAAAAGAATTCCCTGGGGAAATTTGCTTTTAACTACTGAAATCTAGAGCCCATGTCTGATTATTTAGATTTAATTGGTAGGGAACAAGTGGATGTTAGTATTTTTTAAAGCTCCAGAGATAAGAAAAATATCCAGCTAGGACTGAGAAGGACTGGTGTAGGACACTGGGTCGAAAGCAAAGGCGGCCCTGATACAGTCCGCCTCAGATTTGCATTTGGGAATCACCTGCAGATCTTAGTAAAATGCAGCATCTGATTCAGCGAGTGGGGTCACGCCCAGGAGGCTGAGTTTCTAGCAAGCACCCAGATGAGACAGAGGCAGTTGGTTCATTTTCCATAGCAAGGATGTGCTATCACTTTTTTGTGTGTATGGTCTTTCTCAGCCCTGTTAACCTGCCAACCATGTTTTCTTTGTTTTCTTGGGCACTGTTCTTATTCTTCTCATGTCCTGATATCCTTTCAGGTAAAATGAGATTATGAACACACCTATCTGACAGGGTTGCAGGGTACATAAAATCATCTACCTAAGGTCTTTTGTAGAGAGCCTATCACACAGTAAGTGTTGAAATGTTCTCGCTTATATCTCCATGGTCCTTTCTTGAAAAAGTCACTTTAAAATCAAATGTTGATTCCAAGCCCATCTTATTCCAAAAACCCTTTCTTCCCCCATTCTTCAAGGTGGCCCTCATATTAAATATCTCCTTGTCTTCTGTAAAGTGGCTCTTCACCATATTACAGGCCGTTCAACTTGAGTAGAAGGTAAGAGTTCCCAGAGAAATACAGGAAGTGTGAAAGGTAGGAGCGACATTGGTATTTGGTGTGTAAAGGTGAGTGAATGGCTTTTTAAACCTCTCCTGCGAAGCACAGCTATACTTTTGTTTTCAGGAGCCACTCTTACTTGGCGTTGTCTTCAGTCATTGGTAGGCTTTCTAAGTTCCTATCTTTCTTTTGCTGACAGGAAAGAAAAATTCAATTCTTCTGCAAAAGTTCCAGAAGGATCTGAACACTGGTGTTTTCAACAATCAGGAGAACGAAATCCTCAAGCAGATTGTGAAACATGACAGGGAGATGGTGCAGGCAATCGCTCCCATCAATTATCCTCAAATGACAACCCTGAATTCCACATCGTCAACTACGACCCCGACCTCCCGCATGAGGACACAATCTCCACCAGTGTACACAGCGACCAGCCTGTCTCACAGCAACCTGCATTCCCCCAGTCCAAGCACACAGACCCCCCAGCCATCAGCCATCCTTTCACCCTGCTCCTACACAACCGCGGTCTGCAGCCCTCCTGTACAGAGCCCTCTGGCCGCTCGAACTTTCCACTATGCCTCCCCCACCGCCTCCCAGCTGTCACTCATGCAACAGCAGCCTCAGCAGCAGGTACAGCAGTCCCAGCCGCCGCAGACTCAGCCACAGCAGCCGTCCCCGCAGCCACAGACACCTGGCAGCTCCACGCCGAAAAACGAAGTGCACAAGAGCACGCAGGCGCTTCACAACACCAACCTGACCCGGGAAGTCAGGCCCCTCTCCGCCTCGCAGCCCTCGCTGCCCCATGAGGTGTCCACTCTGATTTCCAGACCTCATCCCACTGTGGGCGAGTCCCTGGCCTCCATCCCTCAACCCGTGACGGCGGTCCCCGGAACGGGCCTTCAGGCAGGGGGCAGGAGCACTGTCCCGCAGCGCGTCACCCTCTTCCGACAGATGTCGTCGGGAGCCATTCCCCCCAACCGAGGAGTCCCTCCAGCACCCCCTCCACCAGCAGCTGCTCTTCCGAGAGAGTCTTCCTCAGTCTTAAACACAGACCCAGACGCAGAAAAGCCACGATTTGCTTCAAATTTATGATCCCTGCTGATTGTCAAAGCAGAAAGAAATACTCTCATAAACTGAGACTATACTCAGATCTTATTTTATTCTATCTCCTGATAGATCCCTCTAGCCTACTATGAAGAGATATTTTAGACAGCTCTGGCCTACACGTGAAATGTAAAATATATATACATATACTATAAAATATATATCTAAATTCTCAAGAGAGGGTCAAAAGACCTGTTTAGCATTCAGTGTTATATGTCTTCCTTTCTTTAAATCATTAGAGGATTTAAAATGTTGTTGTAAGATTATTTATTTCTAACCTACTTTTACTTAAGTCCTTTGATATGTATATTTCTCTATTTTATGAAGAGTTCTTGGATTCAATGGAAACAAAACTGATTTTAAAAAAGGCAACTCAAATGAGCTAGCAAATAGCACCAATCAAAACTTTCTTTCATTAGCTGTGACTGTGCATCTAAATTGTTAATCATTAATCATGAAGAATTAAATAACAAATCCCATTTTATAGATCTAAATTGTATTTCGGTGCTTTCAATTTCGAATTAGGTTAAAGACTGCACTACTTGCTTGGCCACTGTAGGAGACTAGCATTGCCACTGTTAAGAATATCACTAACCTCCTACTTTGGAGGCTGAGGCAGGAGAATGGCTTGAACCCAGGAGGCGGAGCTTGCAGTGAGCAGAGATAGCGCCACTGCACTCGAGCCTGGGTGACAGAGCGAGACTCCGTCTCAAAAAAAAAAAAAAAAAAAAAAAAAGAAAAGAAAGAAAGAAAGAAAAAAGAAAAGAGTATCACTAACCTCAAACATGTTCATTGATCTTTCAGAAAACTGAGGGAAAATTAATATTTGTCTTCATGTGTTATAGGACTTTTACCAAGACTCGATCAATGTTAGTTGTAAATAACTTTTTCAACCCAAATAAAAATAGCTATTCTGTGTTGTATGAAGGTAAAAGTCATTGTTTAAGAGTTTAGTTTTATTGCTTCACTTCAAAACTTAGAGTTTTAAATTTCACAAAATCTGATTGTGAGAATTATTCAATTGTAATGCAATGGCTTGAAACCTACAATATTATTTTAACCTGCAATGTTTTATGCAAAATTGTATGCTCGAATCTACAACTTGCTTGTATTACACCAAAAATCATTATTTTTCTTTCTTCTTGCCATAATCAAGCATCTGAAAATAGTCCCTGCATGCTTCTGGGGAAAAAAAAAAAAAATAGGTTCAAATCAGCCATTGTAGGGAAAGGCTTACAGTATTTCTCGTTTCTAGAAAAGCATAACAATTCATTAATTGCCTCTCTTATAATTCCTATAAGGCTGACTTGGATCTCTGACTTAAGTCTAGAAGTGAGGTTTTCACTTTTATTTAATATTATTGCTATTATTATTTAAATAATTATTTGTAAACCACAGCTTGATTTGGAGTTAAGTATTGTCTATGTCTTCACTGTAGCTGGTAATTTACTATGGTGTTAATTTAAAGAAATAAATTCAATACAGCATCACGTCTGTTTGGGAACACACATTTTGCTCTATGTATATTGTAACTAAATGGTTAGTAAACTTTAAGGCATGTGGTGACTAATGTAGCCCTTAGATAGGAGGTTTGTCATTTTTAATGTGTTGAAAATAGTACAGACATGGTGGCAGAAAGCAGGGGTAAAGTTGAATGTCTGTGAGCATTGTTTGTCTGTTTTCTTAACTCTTTCCATGATCTGTGAGCACCTGCTTCTTCTCAAAGAACTCCCTTAGTAATCATTTGTGCCTAATGCATCCCACACATGTGGCGTATGACTGGAACACAATTGAAAGATACCTAATAACTGGCTTCTGTAAATAACCCAAGTTAACAGCATGACGTAAGTGTAGGTCTTCAGTATCTCTGGCATTGGCAATACATTTAAGAACATACAGAGATTACACATTATATGGGGCAGGGCCTGCAGATAGACTTGAGGACAGAAAACAAAAACAAAAGCAAAAACTCTAAAGTGAATCCTTGCTGCCTGTTATGCCTTTTGCAGATATAATACCTATAATACCCAAATGGGTTGTTATGTTTAATTTCAAACAAATACCAATTTGTGTGGAAGTAATTAACAATGCTAGTTAATGTAATGTAATCATCAGTATGCTGGTGACATATGATGGCATGTCAGGAATACTGTTGTAAGAAAGGGATTGTTCAGTCTACCTAGAACCTATGGGAAAGCTGCAAGACCATTTACATATCAGTACAAAACTCCTTTATTTTATTAAAATATGAGAGTTAACTTCAATTTATTAAGAGTATGTATTGGTCCTTTAAATTATTAAAGGTTTACATTTGATAGGATTAATGGATTTGGTAGTGAAATATTTTTATATATATAAATTTTTGGTTTTTTATTTTGAGCACTATTGGGAAAAATAAGCAAAATTGAAATGCATGGTCTTTCAGTGCAACCATAAAATTTTTATTCACTTTGTAATAGAATGGACAAAAAAAATAAGGTTTATATGTTAAACTAATAAAATGGTACAGGGTAAATTATATACATATATGTATGAATGTATATATACTTAGATTAAGAAAAAAAATGACTCACATTCCTGTAATATAAAGGTCCATTGCTAGTTGAAAAGTGACCTCTTTTCTCTGTACATAGTGAAGCCTGTACGTATGGAGTTTTAATCTGTACAGAAAGAAATGTATTATTGATTGGTCTTTCTCCTGCTGGGAAGATAATAGAATAGCTTATTCTTACAACAATTGTATGATCAGGGATGAGTTAGAGTATTTCTTTTGTCTTTGCTCAAAGCCATACATATATAAATATATATAAAGATTATTAATAAATTCAACAAAAAATAAACTACAATCATGAATATTTTATTTTATCAATATATGCTAATCAAATGTTTTATTTTATTAACGAGTACAGCTTTGCCTCTATTTTTACATCACAAAATTTCCAAGAGCTTATACTTGATAATCACATAAAGTCAATTATATTCTATAATTCTGGAATAAGAGGACTTTAAATGGAACATGGATTTTTCAACCACTTCTCTGTTTCACCCTTTCCGTATAGTAAAATATGAGCTTATTTTCTTTTTCACTCTGTGCCTTTTTAGAATGTGGTTGTTCTCCAACTTCAAAACACAGCCATTTTATGTAATTATTGGATATACAGATGAGAAATAATTTTCCTGTAATAGTAAATAATTGTCCTGTAATATATTTATACAAACCTATTTTGTTATAATAGTTCTATAACATACCAATTTTGTTATAATAGTTTTATAACATACCTATTTTGTTATAATAGGGCCTTGGGCTCTATTATAACAAAACAGGTTTGTATAAATATATTCGTATTTATAGCCTTAAACAAAATAGGTTTGTATAGTACGCCCAAAGCCCCATTATAACAAAATAGGTTTGTACAAATATATTCATATTTATAGCCTTGGGCCCTGCAAAGGTATTTGGATAGTGATAGAACCTCTCCATACAACTGTGTTTTAAATGATACCTAAAATCCTGAGATACAGTTTATCATAATGAGAATAAGTAGTGAAGCATTCCTGAAAACAAGGATGATAAATAGTAGCGATGGCAATATATTCTATTCACCAAAAAAAATAGCTTGTCTCCAAGTCTGGTTGACCTCTTCATAAGTGAATGATTCCCTGATGAATGCTGTTCCACTTTAAAGAGATGGTTATTTTGCGATTTATAAACTTAAATGCATATACTATTTTCAGGACACTACAAAGTACATAGGCAAGTTATTACCATCATTCCTACAGGACATGGAATGATTTAAACAATATGGCATGTTTACAATTTTTGGAGATTTATTTCAAATCCTGAATTATGTGTACTTCAAATTATGAGCAATCTCTATTATCTTTCAAGACTATTTAAAAAATCTCCATACCTCCTCTTTCAGCTTAGGTTTTTATATTTGTTGATTTTACTATGTCACTTTGCTTCTATGACCCTCATTTGCACCGTTTATAATGTTAAGCTGTTTGAATGAGATATCTCTCCATTATATCTTTATCTTTTTAGAACATGTGCCATAAAACCCATGTGGTTATTTTGTTCATATGTACTACAACTAGTAAACTTTTATTATATGTTCACCTACTTTAAAAATTACTTATACTGTACCATGGGAAAGAAACATGGTCCTTATAGAATTGAATGCTGAGCTATTTTGAGTCCTGAAAAGAATGGCCAAAAATTTAAGGAACTGTGATTGCTGCATGCACCAAATTGTAGCACATTTCTATAACTGTATTCAATATGGTTATTTTCAAGGGAAACTAGGATAGAAATTTTCTTTGAAAGATTTGCTGTTGTACTTAGGTAAGTATATCTGCTTTTACCACTCAAAAACAATTACTTTCTTAAACAATTTCAATTTTTTCCTTTTTAACAACCCTGCACTTGCACAACGCTGCCTCTCTTGCCTCACCCTAATCCTGACCCTGCTTTCAATTCAGGCTTTGACAGGGACCAATGGAGATTTTAAGGTTTTTTAATGAGAGAAGCCTTGCTGGCATTCCCCCCGTCCCACCTTGAAAATTGCTTAAAGATGATCTTAAAAGAACCTACAGATAATGCTCTGAATTTGTTTCCAAGGTCCTTGATGTGGAGAGAATGAGTTATATTAAATGCTGGAGAAAGAATTATCATTTAGTGAAAAATTAAACATGCTTTTCTAAAATGTGGATGTTTAACAGAGCACAGCTGATTGGGAACACGGGCAGTTCAGTGCAGCTAGAGTGTCTCACAGGGTGAAGAGGAACCCAGATCAAGTGGGGAATAGGGATTTCAAAAACCTTCTAAAAGGCTTTTAACATCAGGGCAAAAGTTTTACAGTGTTATACTTTATATTCTTAATTTAAACTTATCAGCGGGAAGGATTCACATTGAAATGTCTGTTTTGCTCATAAAATAATTTATTTTATTAATTAAAATAATAAGAGCAAAAACTGGCGGCTATTTGCAATCTCACCCTGCCTTGTGAGGATGCTGGGTCTTAAGGAAGGTCCTAGGATTACTAAATAGAGTAATGGGAATAGGAAACTGAAAGTTTACTTGCTTTGCATAAGATAAGGAATATATTGCAGCAGGGAATGGGTACAAGAAGATAAGAGCTAGAAGAACCTGTGAGAAGGGAAAGAAGTAACAAACTAATTTTGGCTAAAATAAAGCAATTTCTCAGGTCAGGCGTGGTGGCTCATGCCTGTAATCCCAACACTTTGGGAGGCCAAAGTGGGAGGAATGCTTGAGGCCAGTAATTGGAGACCAACCAGAGCAGTAGGTCAAGACCTGGTCTCTACAAAAAAAAAAAAAAAAAAAAAAAAAAATTTAATTGACCAGTATATACCTATCTACCTGCAGTGTTTAGAAAGCCTGACTACAGGTGTTGTACTCCTGTAGTCCTAGTTACTCAGAAAGTTAAGGCAGGAGGAGCACTTGAACTCAGGAGGTCAAGATTGCAGTGAGCCTTGTTTATGCTGCTGCACTCCAGCTAGGGGGACAGAGCAAGACCCTTTCTCAAAAAAAAAAAAAAACAAACAAAAAAGTGAAGCAAGTTCTTTAATTTCTATTGGCGATATCACACACTCCAAAGACTGGCAAAGGTGAACATTATTTGGAGCTATTTTATTTCTAATGTAATGTCAATGGCCATTTACTTCCAAAGGAAAACATTTTTTTTTTTTTTTTTTTTTTTTTTTTTTTAAGATGGAGTCTGGCTCTGTCACCCAGGTGGGAGTGCAATGGCAGGATCTTGGCTCACTGCAACCTCAGCCTCCCAGGTTTAAGCAATTCTCCTGCATCAGCCTCCCAAGTAGCTGGGATTACAGGTGCCCGCCACCCACCATGGCTGGCTAAATTTTTGTAATTTTTAGTAGAGACAGGGTTTCACCATGTTGGCCAGGCCGGTCTTGAACCCCTAACCTCAAATGATTTGCCCACCTCATCCTCCCAAAGTGCTGGGATTACAGGCCTAAGCCACCGCACCTGGCCCTTCTATTTTTTTCTACATAGTTGTTCCAATAATACCATATAAGCAAAGAATACTATTTATTTATTCAATTGAAGAAATCTGAATAAATTAGTAACTATAATAATTCTTCAAAAGAGAAGGACCATTTTATGTTTCCAATATATTATATAATTGAATTCAAGTAACACAGAGTCATTCAGACTTTTTTTTTAAATAACGGAGTTTTGCAAAAAACATGTTGTAATTTTACCAGACTGACCATCGTTGTCTACAGAAAATATTCATATGTGTAGAGGCAAAGAGATTTTTTTGAAAGGTTTTTATTTCCTGTTAAATTCACGAGGAAAACTCCAGAGAATGGATTTACTTTTGAAGGAAGAAAGAACATAACCCAAAGAAATTCAAAAGATTCAAAAAAATTTTCCAAATGTATTCTCATTTCTTTCTCATATTTGTTCAAGGTCTTAGTTTCCAAGCATTTAAAATTAAATATTGTTTGCCTAACTCTTCTAACATCTATTACCAACCTATCCTATTACAATTCTGTTTAAAATGTACAGTTCTAAATGTCCTTGCGTGCCTCACTATGGAAAGTGTGGTGCATATAACTGCAGCATCAGTATCACCCAGAAGTTTGTAAGAAGTGCAGAGTCCTTGGCCTTACCCTGTACCTACAGAAGTCTGCTTTTGGGCAAGATCCCCAGATGATTCATATGTGTGTTAATATAGAAAAGAGTGAAACTAGTAAGTCCTAGAGGAGGTAAATTTTAAGGGTTTAAGGGCTTTTTAAGGGAACTTCCAAGTGTGAAGACATTTCTGGAGGTGATAAGTCAACATAGCATGGGATCTTGGCTAAACAAGGAAAGCGAGAGAACATTAAATAAAGACAAGGAACCTGAAAGCAGCGACAAACCACCTATGTCATAATTTTATCCTGGACCATCCAAAATTTACTCTTGATCATGCTGTCTAACGCAGCCTGCCTCCTGGCACTTGCTACTTAGAAACAGGGAAGAGAAAACTAATATGAGTTAGGTATTATAATTTCCTTATGTCAGATAAATTTTGGTGCCATAGCTAGCAATGTTTCTTAATATCACATCCGTACAATGTGTCCATTGCCTTCTGTAACATTTTTAATGATATCAATAATACATTGACATTGTAAAAATAAATGAATGCGGTCAATATTTTGCAAATGAGCTTCTCTTCATCAGCTATGTCTGTATACCTGCAGTGTTTAGAAAGTCTGACTACAAAAACTGGTTCTACTGCCTGTGACTTGTGTACTCATGGTAGAATTATATAGTCATATTGTGTCTGGAGTTGGTTCCTTATGGTGGGTTCGTGGCCTTACTAACTTCAAGAATGGAGCTGTGAACCTTTAGGGTGTTACAGCTCTTATAGATGGCACAGACCCAAAGAGTGAGCAGCAGCAAGAGTGAAAGAACCAAGCTTCCACAGCGTGGAAGGAAACCCCAGTGGCTTGCTGCTGCCAGCTGGGGGTGGCCAGCTTTTATTCCCTTATTTGTCCCCTCCCATGTTCCATTTTTGTCCTATCACAGTGCCCTTTATCAATCCTCCCCGCAACTGGCTACTTTTAGACTCCTGCTGATTGGCGTGTTTTACAGAGCACTGATTGGTGCATTTCACAGAGCACAGGTTGCTGTATTTTACAATCCTCTTGCTAACTACAGAGCACTGATTTGTGTGTTTTACAATCCTAGCTACAGAGTGCTAATTGGTCCATTTTACAAACCACTTGCTAGCTACAGAACTCTGATTGGTGCGTTTTACAATCCTAGCTACAGAGTGCTGATTGGTGCATTTTACAATCCTCTTGTAAGACAGAAAATTTCTCCAAGTCCCCACTCAAACCAGGAAGTTCAGCTGGCTTCACCTCTCAATATTACACCTGCTTTCATGACTGGAAAATGGAGATTGGAATCGTTTCTACTTTATAAGGTGGTTATGAAGATTAAATGAGATGAATTTTACACAAAGTTTATTCCAGCTCTTGGCCCCCATTGAACATTCTAAAACCAACGAGCAGAATTTTCTAAGTCACCCCAGGCTACCTGGGCAATAACTTCTTAGATGGGAATGACCTCTCACACCTTCCCAGTGGAAGGGACTGTGCATGCAATTCCAACTTCACAGAAGAAGCAGGCTTCCACCCACTGACACTCCTCCTACCCCATGATCTCCAGGTGTTTGGCAGCTAGTATTTCTAAATGACTTCTGTGAACAGCTGACACCCTATGTCCAGTTTTCTTGGTGCTAATTAATCTTGATGACTGATGAGGCTGGTTTTTCCTCTCTGTCCTGTAAATGGTAAAATATCAGGAGGCCAGTATCCTCAACTAGCACCTCAGCCCCACCAAGTTTCTCCATGAAAAGAGAGGGTTGTATAATGAACCTACTTCTTAACATGTATCACATGACAGTAAAATTTGTCCTGAAGCCTAATGCAAGAGAAGTTTAGGTCCAAGTAGGACATAATGTATGACATGCGGATGTCATGCATGTCATACTATAGCATCTATGGCATGCTATATTAAACATTATTATAATCATATCTTTTGAAAAATTAGAATCTGCAATTGAGTGCAGTAGTCATCTTGTCATTTGTAAAGCTGATAGTAAAATATAAACATGTGCGCGTGCACACACACACACACACACACATGCATTTGATTACACACAGAGAGCCTTGTCTTATATATAGCTTATTTAGGTAGGGACAGGTTTCTGAAAGGTGTCACATGCAAGTGCTTTCCTTTTTGTTTGAGGTACAGATCCCATGAAAGAGCCAAATGCCAATACGATGCCCTGAGAGAGATGGCAGCTGTGTAATTGTTCCTTAGATGTCTTTCTAAGTGTAGTCAAACTCTTCTGGCATGCAGCAATCATCCTGCCCCTAGGAATTTGACCTTTCTGCACCGTACTTTAAATTCAGCCTCATTGCTTCATTGCTACAAAGCAAGAAGATAAGGAGGTGATGCAAGATCCTTTTTTTTTTTTTTTTTTTTTTTTTTTTTAGAACTTATACTTTAAAATCTCCTACTACAATTACAGAACCACACAAACGTTGGGCTGCTAGGCTCCACAGGAGATCATCTGAACTCAGTTCTTAAAGTTTTGTTCACAGCAGGATCTGAGATCTAAACTTCTAAATTATTATTTCATGATTTGTATTTTTTTTTAATGTAGGGAGAAAAAAAACACACGCCTCATGTCAGAGTACTTCAATGTTACTGTGATGAACATTGTTGTTAAAAAATCTGTAGACAGGTGATAAAAGTCCAAGACCGAAATAATCAAAGAACTGCGAAGTCTGAAAATTGAAGCTTCCAGCAGTTTCAGATTGGCTGCATCCAATTAATCAGATACTTGGCCCAACAACACATGCCTTGAGCTGTTTATTTCATGCACTGTTTATTGCTAAAATAGATATTAAAGCTAAAGAGATTTAGAGGAAAATGGATGGTCTGTTGGGGAAAAGAATTACTTTAAATTTTTCCCTTAGAAAAAAAGATTAAACCAGATTACATTTAGTGGCCAGTTGAAGAATAAATTTTATAATAGTGATAAACTAAAAAGAAAAAATGTTGTTTTTAAGGGAAACAATTCACTGCATATGTCAATTGTAGCACTGTGATTTTGTTTGCCTATTTTTTGTCTTAAAGTCCTAGTATAGGTTAAAATTTTGACTTTTGGCATGGCATGAAAGGCTAAATAGATGCAATATTCTTAACATGTCTGACTTTCTAAGACTCTGCTCAATTATTAATAGTTTATTTAACACACTTCTTTCTTCAGCTATGTGTTTCTGTTCATCGTACATATGTAAAATCTACAATTTATATTTTAGCTTTCACATGATAAAAGTGAGTTCTTCTTTGAACCCTCCAGCTACCATTTTCTGTATTATTTCATCTTTTTACACTCTTTCATTTCTTCTTCCAAGAATGAAAAAGATCTAATATCACTAAAAACTTACTGTGAGTTAATTAACTTCTGAATTATCCCAGGTATTTGCACTTTAAATAAAATGCCATCATTAAAAAAGAAACAAATATACAAAAATAAATTGGCTACTAACTCTTGGACACCAGTAAGTGCTCTCACCTGAAAAATAACAATTTCACTAAATAATTTGTAGGATTTCTTCTAGAGCCAAGATTCTGAAACTTGAAAACTCTTGCCCTTGATGGGAGGGAGAGTTTATGTCATCACCACAATTTGCTGAGACTTTATGTTGCTCAAATGTGCATCCACCACCTACAGAGTCTGCAATAAAGCAAGTTTCATAAGTGTTTGTTGAGCATCCAGGTACACGAAGAAAGTAAACACTTGAAAAAAATAGTAGCAAAATGTAACTAAAACAGTTTAAGACAAAATCAAAAAGAGTGTCACAGGGAGTCATAATTTCAATTAAATTACGCAAATGAGAATTGTCACAGCAATTATTATTTGGGCAATATAGATAGAGGGAGAATGTATAGAATCATGAAGTACTAGAATGTTTGAGCTATTAATTGCCCTTAGAAATGAGCTTGTTAAACTCTCTTGAATGATAGAAGTAAAAACAGACCTGGAGCCCCAGTAT